GCAACCTACAGGAGGAAATGGATAAGACCCACCTGATTCGTTGTCCAGCCCTAAAGACAAGTACGGAAAGCCAAAGATACTGGGAAGCAAGAAGACAGCTAATGAATTGCAATTAATTAACTGCTATAAATGTACCCCCCCCCCCTTCTTGGGGGAAGCTGAAGTCAAAGATAAAGGGCTAATGATAAATATCATAAAGCCTGCCATTTGAAATATATATATATATATATATATATATATATACACCTCCCCCTATCTTGTAGTCTTGTAGGTGTCATAAGGTTAAATTAATCTTAGGTGATCTACTAAAGTTCTCATTATACACGAGATTTATAATGACCTTCTGCAATCATTATTTATCTTACACCATTGTCTAAAGTCAAGCCATGTCTAAAAACAAGCCGTTATAAGCCGCGTTGGTAAACATGGGAGAGGCTACTTAATGTGATCTGGAAAGAAGCCTTCAGTCGAGGTTGTTGAAGAGAAGCAATTCTCTGAGAACCCTATTTGTTCCACTTAATGTTCAATATAAACACTGATTTAAACAAGGTTACCACTTCCTCTACATTTACCCCCACCTCTGCTATTGCTAATTTAACAAATTCGAGTGCTTAGTATGCTTGAAAAATAAGTAAATTACTAATAAAACGAAAAGTGTATGATAAGAGGGTATTTCATTTCTGTATTTGACACATGAAATGTAAAAATATGACAATTAATCCTCACACAAATTGAAAAGTCCTGTCATGTTTACTTGCCAAAGGTGGGCTAAAGTAAGCATTTTGAACACGAACATAGATATTAATCAGTTTACTAGATAAGATGTTGGAATCCAACCGCAAATAAAAAAATATGCAGGAATTATGATGGAGGAGAGAATGAATTCACTCAACCAGAGAAGTTGGATTTGAGATGTTGTGAAACGAACACCGAATGTGATTGTTATTGATTTTTTCGCATTGAAAGGAGTTAGTTAGTCTTTGTTAATACAGGCATGAGAACCAGGGTTGCTATTGGTTGGTTGCATATTTGACGGTTCATTCGAGGATAATTTATTGCCATACATGGTGGAGAATAAGACACATAGTTTTAATTAAAAGAATTTATTTTTCTAGTTAATTGTGGGAATATACCAATGAATTAGGCGACAAGGGATTCATGTAAGGCCTATTCATTGATAGTTAATATCAAATAATTTTAAATTTAGTATGGGAAATTGATGCTGGACTTGCCTGTTTCAAATTATTGTACTGCGCAAATAAACCCAAGTGGGCTTGATTTCATTAAGAAGGTAGTGTCTATTTGACTTTATAGATTCTAACACGAATTCGATTGTCTTCAGTTTAAATAACATGTATCGTGTTAAATATGATAATCGTATTACCCGTATTGAAGGTATCTATTAACCAATAAAATAGAAATATTTCATGAAGCAAAAGAATTCCGTTACCATCAAAATTTTCGATTGTACAATGGAGGTAACGATATGAAACTCTAAATTTTGGAAGGGACATGAGCAAGTTGAAAGAGTGTTCATTGTCCTTTTACACGAGTACATTGTGACTGCTTACTCAAATACCCTTCCCAAAAATAAAATAAGGAGAAGCCTCCATAACAAAAATTTGCATTTCACTTACAAAAATTGTGCTTTGAAACATATGAAACAATTTATATAATTCAAATAAACGTCAGATTGATATTCAGTCGTCTAAGGCTGCTTGAGTTCGTAGTCCCAAGAGTCGTCTTTGGGAAGTCCTTTAATGAAATCATTCTCCGCAGTCTCACTTGAGGTATTATCACTGCTGTGTTCCAGATCTTTGTCTAGCCTTGCAGGAAATGCGGAACCTACGGGTGGTTGGTAATGCCAAGAGTCGAGTTTGGGAAGTCGTTTAATAAAATCATTCTCTGAGGTCTCTGAGGAGGAACCATCGCGTGGATATTTAACCGAGGGGCATATTAATTTGAAGCAATTAAATATCGCTTGCCAACATCGAGAACAGCAATCTGACGCTGGCATGGTTGGGAAATCGAACGGCGGGTAGGCAACACTCGACAACTGTGAGTAATGGTATTTTGGGGACGTGTTACAACCGCTGTGCTTCAATTGACCTTTAGAAGCTAACACCCACATCATCAGCGCAACCAATCAGTTTGGGTAGGCGAATTAAATTTGTGAGTGATTTTTTAAGCGGGTCTGCTTATGTGCGCGAGTGAGAGAATCAAATGTGTTACGGTTGTCAATGTCTCGACCATTGGTTAGATATATCTTGTAGTGATTAGTTTTAAAAAGCATGTGTTGTTTATTGATGAGGAGGGCTCATGAAAATGTGAAGACTCAATTTCAGAGGATTGAGCTAATGAAGTGGATGGTTTAATACGGTGTTTGCTGAATGTCATGTGACTCTCAATGGAACTGCTCAGTATGGGTCATGTGGTTTGATATCGTGCACCATTTCACGCTGCAGCAAGAGAAAGTAATAATGATTGAAATCCAAACACCTCAATTCGTAGACTATTGAATGTATATAGCGTAGAGTGTTTGATGTAATGTATTTTTTGGATTAACTAAGTAATCCCTATCCAATGAAAATTAAATGAACAATTTGTTGTTGACTATTGAATAGGATAAGCAGACAAATGATAAATTGTGCTGAATTGCAGTGTCGNAGGCGAATTAAATTTGTGAGTGATTTTTTAAGCGGGTCTGCTTATGTGCGCGAGTGAGAGAATCAAATGTGTTACGGTTGTCAATGTCTCGACCATTGGTTAGATATATCTTGAAGTGATTAGTTTTAAAAAGTATGTGTTGTTTATTGATGAGGAGGGCTCATGAAAATTTGAAGACTCAAAATCAGAGGATTGAGCCAATGAAATGGAAGGTTAAATACGGTGTTTGGTGAACGTCAGGTGCCTCTCAATGGAACTGCTCAGTATGGGTCATATTGTTTGACATCGTGCACCATTTCACGTTAAAGCAAGAGAAAGTAATAATGATTGAATCCAAACACCTCAATTCGTAGACTATTGAATGTATATAGCGTAGAGTGTTTGATGTAATGTATTTTTTGGATTAACTAAGTAATCCCTATCCAATGAAAATGAAATGAACAATTTGTTGTTGACTATTGAATAGGATAAGCAGACAAATGATAAATTGTGCTGAATTGCAGTGTCGCCGTCCTCCACATTTTCCGAGTAAAGGATTCACTTTAAGGCATTCGGAGGGGGGGATTTCACTGAGTTATGGGATTTGTGGCTATTTGTGGAGGTAGAATAGGTTAGAACAGTGTTTGACCAACTGTTGTCATTGTGATGGCATCTAAGATCACATACCATTTATCTCACTCAGCTTTCTCAAATGAGTAATCAGCTACTATGACTAAATAAGTAATTTGTGAATCTCATTTGTAATTGTTGAAAAGATTATTTATTTCAAATGGTAGGTGTTTTGATGGTTATCATTAGGCCTTTAGTTGACTTCATGCTTCACAGAGAGGAAGGAACAACAAAGTGGGAAAAATTCGAGAGGGGGAGCAGAAGAGATGAATAATAGACTTTTTTGCCGTATGAGTATACTTTGCCAAGGGTGCACCACGTGGAGGTAAGTCTCTCACGCACCCCGAGTTAGAACATATGCTTAGTGGAAAAATCGGAAAGGGTGATAGTGGAAAGTAGGACGAATTAAAAGTAGGAGCCGGGCGGGAAGGGGTGACGGATGAAAGGAAGAGGCAGCATGAAGTCGGATGGGAGAATTGACCTATTTCTGCAGGATTATGAGACAGTGCGCACAGGTTCTACAACATATGTACGAATGATAAAGCAAAGGAAACATAAGCACATATTCTGCAGTCAATTAAAACAAAAACATGAAAATGTTGCACAGCAAGTAAAGTAAGTCAATGTAGCTCGTGATTACATAGTCATCTGTATATAATATGACAGAACAAGCGTATATTTGCACAAATTCATCCGAACATTGGATAGTCATATCGGAGCGATTATAGTAGGTGATTTCCTGTTAAAGGGCCACGCCTTCAATCAATACTTTTCACAGTACAAATACTGGTATATTTTGCAAATGTATTTTAACCTCTCCGAAGTGCCAATATTCGTTAGTTTATCTCTCATACCTGGGGTGTGCGATAGACTTACCTCCACGTGGTGCACCCTGGGCAACGTATACGCATACGGCAAAAAAGTCTATTAACCGGCATTTGAATTCTGACCTCCAACTACCACGACCCCCCTGGTTGTCATATTCGACCCCTTTCATAGTACTTACCTTTCCTTTTTCTCTACCTTTGTGTCTGTCTGCCTCTTTTACATCTGTAAATCGCTCTTCTGTTCCCCACCCCTCGACTTTCTGCTACTTTGATGGACCTTCCCTCTGTGAAGACCGAAATCAGGTAATAACATAGAGGCTGGTAAAAAGAGGTAGAAATGTCTCAATTTAAGTTAGCATTCTTTTAGCCCATGGTTCTAACTTTAATTAAAGATAGGAGAAAGTGTGTCAATGACCCAATGCCAATAAGTAAAGACAGGATATGAAATGTAAAATTGCATCTCTTTGAAGTTGTAAGCGGATGTGAACTGCAGATTTCATTTCAATACATGTGTGACGAAAATTTTTGCGAGAGCATTTGACTTGACGCAAACTCCATGCAAATGTAGCTTGGATTCTGCAGCTATGCGGGTTTAATGCCAGTCTAGAGCTGCCATAACTCGTTAAGGATCCCATAGTCATCATAATGAACAAGAATTATTTCAAAATTTCTCCAAGTACCTGTATTCTGTGACTAACTTGCTAGACCTCACATTCAATCCTCCCACCAGTTTCCTGTAATCAGTTATTTTGGATGACATAACTTAGCAAAATGGTAGATTTTGCTTTGCATTTCATTCTGTGCACGAGTTAATAAATAAAACGAGATGTTGTCATTAGCCCTATAGCTGTCTTCGGGCTTCACAGAGGTGAGGAACATCAAAGTCACAGAAAATGGAGATAGAGAAGAGACGGGTGAATTGCAGGTGATAAAGAGAGTCAACTAAGGGGCTAATGATAAATATCAAAAATCCAGCCAATAACAACAAGTGAATAGCAGCGGAGAATGACTTTAAGACATCTGTACTAATGATCAAAGTGTTGGAGACGGAAATGGCTTCATTGGTAACTTATTAGAAGAGAAGTCGTTTCCGTAGACCTGGGGTAACTTTACACTGCACCTTCTCGAAGATTCTCTCAAGCCAACACATTCCCAACTTTCTTCTCATTCAAGGCGAGTACCAAGATCAGTCATCATCAACACTAGCTCCTAACACAAGTAGATTCGAGACAAATTGTACTAATGTATCAACATTTTGCCAATATCAACGTTTCAAATGGAGAGAAACTATTGAATCTCGTAGTTTCCCTCAAAAACTTAGGGAATTGAATGTGTTGTAACATTTGCGGACTACAATTAAACTGGAGATAGAAGCATTCACCCATTATTGCGGCATTGACCAACCGCTTTGAAAATTATTCGTGCTCATTGAGAGTTATTGTGAATAATCATTGACCTTGTATAGAGAAGATGTTTGAAGAGTATTAAGATTGTTCTCAATTGGAGAAGATAAAGACTAATTTACCAAATATTATTCTTGGGTGATAAATAATAGTACATTACTCAATACAAAGGCTCCTTCCTGAATTCGGAGGAGGTACTAGAACGTGACTTAATTCGACTTCTTTCCCAACTAATGAATACATGGAAACACTGCTTATAAAACGGTTAAATGTTTGAAATGTTCAATAATGTGTAAGGTCATCAGTACTCTGTGAAGGTCAGAAATAATTTTCCCCATTGCGAAGATGCATCTTGGCAGACATGTGTACCGAGAAAAGTGTAGAACGTGAAGACCATCCATTCGAAATTCAAATCGAAAGGTTGAACAGAAGTTTTCAGCTCTTTAAAAATGTCGGATAAAACTTCTCAACAATTTAACTACTTATAAGAACATCATTTTTGTGAATGTTTTTCATGTTTCACCTTGATTAGAA